TACTATATCGTACACTCTCCAACACCTACCCCCTACCCCCCCCCCCCCAACCAACAAACACACCCACCCACCCATAACAACAATTTAGTGCGCCGAGCTATCCTTTTTAGCCATTCTCTAATATTATAGACAGGTTGAAGCTTCATGAAAGTTGTTGAGTGTTTTGACTTTTTGTTAACAAATTAGTTGAATACAAAGCAGGTGCTATATTTTGAAACATTACAAATATGTCAAATTGGTCGATCAAATGCCTAATTAACTCACACATCAATTTCCTAATTATGCGATAGTATGAGTAATATTTAAGTGAGTTATGAACATATTTTGTTCAGAAATTTCTACTCTCTCAGGTGGAAGGTTTATTTTAATTTCTTAGGCATAGACTCATAATGAATATTTGAAAGTTTCCAAGTTTGATCACCTAACACAACAAGTATATATATATATATATATATATATATATATATATATATATATATATATATAAAATCCAACCAAACCCAATTTCAATTTGTCAACCACCTTTTTCTTGCCTAGTTGCATGTTACAGTCCACACATTATATATTAGAACCTGTAGGGATCACTTCTATTATGGTTTCCAATTTATTCTCCTCTCATTTTGGCATTAAATAAATAATGTCAATTTCGAAAATGAGGGATGTTTAAAATCAAGCCATTAGTTTTTTGTTATTAATTAGCCAAACTTTTCTTATTAAGTGCGATAGACCCCTCAAATAATATAGTCTTACCTACTATATGGCCCTCTAGGTCAATTTCACATAATTCAGCTCATTATTGAACTATTATGGACTAGCACAAGTACAAAAAGTATTTTTCATAAAATTAACCAGAAAGAGAAATTATAGAAAAGTAGAAAATGGGCAGAAATTATTTTGCATGAAGGCAAGTGAAGAAAACTTTTAAGAATGGCCATGTTGAACCCTAATAGGCTATTAGGTCAAAAAATATTGATCCGTGTCTGGTGTTTACATCAACTTAATTAATTTAACTGTAAGACTCATAAATTAAACAAATTATAACTCAAATGTAAGTTAATGCAAAAGAGAAAAAAAAAAAAAAAAAAAAAAAACTAGTCATATGGTCATAAAGCCGTGAATTTACAAGAAGTTAATCCCTTATTCTTTATTTTATGTTAAAAAGTCTGGATTCAAAGAGAGAGTCGATTCACGTACTTCATTATTTTCTGGTTCGTTATCGCCTTTTTTGGTTCAAGGTATGGGTTTTTTCTTCCTAGTGATATGCAGGACAAATATCATTCTAAGTTGTCCAAGTTGTGCCAAGGGATAGTTCATTTGCACGAGTAAGAAACCGATGTACTTACACGGGTCAGACAGGTTACTACATTTCATTGATGGTTAGAGCCGAATTGAAAGCTAATGTCACGACCCGGATTTCCCCACTCTCGGGGGTCGTGATGGCGCCTACTCGTAGAAGCTAGGCAAGCCACAAATCATAAACTCCTACCTACTTTTGATTTCATGATTTAGGCTTAGAAACTTGCTAATTAATGAAGGAAAAGTGAAGGAAATGAGTGGGGAATTACTTACCCAAGTGGTCTTGAAGGAATATGATTAGAGTGTTATTACTTGCTAATTGCTAAATGATCGAGTACGGTGTATAGGCATGGTGACGAGTATCTATACACCGGTGTCTAGCATGACCGTGGGTCCTTGTATGTACTTATCCTGATATTGTTATGACTCTTCCATGTTAATTGATGAATTCTATGCAATGTGAAGAGTATGAGGACTAATTATGAATTGTAAATTCTTTGGAGCGTTGGCTCGAACGATAAAAAGACTATTGAGTAAGAAATGAAAGAAATAGAAAGTGATATGATTAATCCCTTGCCGGGATGGTTTGAGTATATTGATTATCTCCCTTGCCGGGATGTGAAAGTATTGTCGTTGCTCCCTTGCCGGGATTTAGCTGTTAATTGAGTAATTCCCTTGACGGGACATTTCTTATTATTTGTTTATCCCCTCGCCCCGTTTGGTTGTGATTACTGTTTGGGTGAGGAAGAGTGATAATGCACGAAGGGTCATTCCGTGCCATGTTTGATTATATTTGCACAAAGGGTCATTCCGTGCCATGTTTTGATTATATTTGCACGAAGGGTCATTCCGTGCCATGTTTTGATTATATTTGCACGAAGGGTCATTCCGTGCCATGTTTTGATTATTTATGCACGAAGGGACATTCCGTGCTCTGATTTGATTATAATTGCACGAAGGATCATTCCGTGCCATGATGTGAGAGTTATGTGATGGAAAGCACGAAGGATGATGCCGTGCACTTTATTTGATTGCTTTTGGTGAGTATGAGAGTAGAAGCACGAAGGTTGATGCCGTGCAACTGTTGATTTTCCTGCTCTCATTAATTATTGTTATTGCCCTGTTTCGTACTTAAATTTTTGACTTTATATCTGGACTGTACTCCCTCATAGTATGCCCCCCTCCCTCTTAACTGTTTAATTTCTTTGTTCTTTCCTTTTATTGCATATATATATATTGAACTGCACAGGTTGGTTTGGTAGTCCTGTCTAGCCTCGTCACTACTTCGCCGGGGTTAGGCCAGGCACTTACCAGCACATGGGGTCGGTTGTGCTAATGCTACACTTCTGTGCTCTTTTGCACAGATCACGGTACCGGAGCAGCTTTTGGACCACAGCAGTAGGATATTGATCGGGAGCTGACTTCAGTCCAGGGACTTACGAGGTAGCCTAGCTGGCGTTCGCAGGCCGGAGTCCCTTTCTATGTTTTCAGTTTGTTTTCATTGTACCGAGACAGACATTTATGCATTTTCTATTCAGACTTGTTTGTAGCACTCTTTAGTAGTTCATGAGATAGCGATTCCAGTCTTGGGTAGTGAAATATTAGACTTCCGCATTTTGGGTTTTCAGTTATTTATGTTTTAAAAGACTTCCGCATTTATTTAAAGACTCGTTATTTTATTATTGTTGTGTTGTTATCCGAAAATGTTTAAATGTTTGGCTTGCCTAGCTCCAACAGTAGGTACCATCACGACTCCCGATGGTGAGAAATTCGGATCGTGACAGCTAAGCAATGGGAATTCTAAAAAATCCCCGGGGGGGGGGGGGGGGGGGGAAATAGAGATGTAATGTGAAGCTTATCTTAAATCGCTACAACCATATAGCCTAATAAATAAATAAAAAGAAAAAGAGGTAATAATGTAGACAATTGCACATTCTCATATGAATTTAAGACATATACACACTTCATCTCAATGAATTTCCATTTACAAACCCTAAATAAAAAATAAAGAACTTTCTACAAACGTGATATAAATCACAAGACTAAAAATATTACTACCAAAAATTAAATAAATTATGATTCAATGGTCTTTTGCACTTTTGTCTTGAAGACTAAAATATAAAGCTTTTCCATTGAGAAATAGAGGAAGCCACCTGTGGCGTGAGTAACATATGACCCAAAACTTGAGCCCACTATGCAATGCCAGGCCGGCCCATATATTTTGTCAAATTCCTGTTGAAATTTGTAAACAAGAATCTCATCAAAATATGAATTTAACTTAAAAGAATTAAATTAAATAGCCAATCACTCAACTCTTTAAACTAAAGATAGGCAGAGGATATATAATTTAAGTATAACCCATATATAATATATGTATAACAGTGTATAATCAGTGCATAGATTCTGTATCGGCTAGAAAAAGTAAAGAATGAATCTGTACGGCTATTTGTGTAAAGACTTAACCTAAATAGCTGCGCATCCAACCGCTTAAACTAAAAATAGCTGGTAAATATATATAATTTATATATAACATATGTATAGCTGTATATAATTAGAGTATAATTGATGTATACCTGTTAGAAAAAATAAATAGTCACCGGCTATTTGTATAAAGATCTCTTTAACTCATATCTATGGATAATGTCAAGAATTTTTATATTATAGATATATTTTATCATGCTGTAGGAAATTATCTACCTTATTTTTTAAGTTACTAATCTCATTTATTATGAATCATTACTTGTATTTATTTTTTAATGATCTGATAATGTATTTAAAATTTTTTTACTATCAACGTATAAAAGTTAAATCAGTAGAATATTACTTCCACAGCTGTTTTATAATAAATATAATTATTTCTTGAAGTAGCCATCTTTAATTTTGCTTCTGTTATTCACATGGGATGACTAAGAAGAGAATAGTAATTGACAATTAGCACATGATTAGAGATACTTTTTACTATTATTAAATATTAACTTGTGATTTTACACTATTTAATGGGGTGCCCCTAATTTTTTTGTTTAATATATGGTCTAGCCCTCAATCAGTTGTCTCAGATCTGATTGACAGGTTTGCATGTTTTTATTTGTCAAACATTTACATGTGCCATAAAAATGAGTAGATGACTTTTATATTTCACATAGTAAATGTAGTGTGAATTTTTTTTTTCCAGTGTAAAACTATAATGAGAAACTTCTTTTCAGTTAAAAGTAGTTGGGGGTTTTTTTCCAAGAAAAGAAAATTCCACAAAGTAACCTAAACTAAATCAACAGTAGAAACAAAATAAAGATAACAGAAAATTATTTCAGACCCCTTTTTTGTTTATTTATTAAAACAACTATATTTGGACTATGGATAAGAAAGATAAATACAGTAAATTAATAACTATCACCCCCTATATTACAAGTTGTTACCACACTCTCGAAAGATATTACATTATCAGTATATTTTAATTGATTATTGCATGTTACTTACTGCGTGTTCTAAATCACTACATTACGATAAATAATTACGTATTATTGTAGGTCATCTTATCCTGATGGTATGAAAAACCAGTACACTATCTGTGCCCAAAAGTTAAACTCTTTCTCAAATTGCATAAAAATTTATGACTAAGGACTGTGTGTAAAAACTCACAAGGAAAATCCACTGCGTAATTGCTTTCTACTATGATAGGGTGTCTTGGAGCAACGATAAAGTTGTCTCCGTATGACTTGTAGGTCACGGGTTCGAGTAGTGGAATCAGCCACTAATGCTTCATTAGGGTAGGCTGCCTATATTACACTACTTGAGGTACGGCCCTTCCTAAATCCTACGTGAATACGAAATGTTTCGTGCACCGTGCTGCCCTTTACTATAATAGGGATCCGAATTGGAAGAAAATTGGCCAAGAAAAAAATGAAATGATGTACAAAATTGAAGATAAAAGATTGGAAACATACCTTTTTCATGTTACATGCCATATGTTTAGAGCTGAATTTTTCCAAGCTATCATAAGTAGTTCTTGCACATTTAAAAGCATGCACTTGCATAAATCCTGGCATATCTGTAACCAAAACTTTAACTTGAAGAATTGCAGCCATTGAAGCTACATTCAATTCAACATGTGTCACTGATTTCCTATTTGTTTCAATGTAAGAAACTGATTTTCTTGATTCAACTTGCTTCACTTGATCTTCAACTGATTTTCTTGATTCAATGGATGAAACTGATTTTCTTGTTTCTCCTTTTGTTGTAACATTCATAGTATTAATCAACTCACCTTGATGATTTTCGCGATAAGTTTTCGATCTTCTGAGCCCCCATCCTTTTGAAATACCTTTCTTTAACATGGATGATAAATCGGGTTCGGGTTTTGGTTTCGGATTTCCAGTTTCTATGTTATATACATACATGGCTCCTTTCTTTTGCTTTTCTCCTCCTGTTCTTGTTGTCATTTTTGAAGCACACTATATGAGTTTGTTGATTGGTATTTGGTGGAATGAGAGATGTGTATATAAATCTTGAGGGGGTGGGATGGGGTGGGATGGGTAGGGTTAGGGGTTTTGCTAGTTGGTTAGGATGAGAGGCAAATATATGAATCAAGAATCATTAATTCAAAATAAGTGTGATCTTATTATACGTTGAAAATTTTTTCTAAGGGATAATCAAATAAATTAATATTCGTTAATGTAAAGCAAGCGTTCTGAAGTTGGGTCGAGCCGTTTGGTTTATCATACGAAGAAAAAATCTAATACGTAATTTGAGTCATTGTTCGCAGAATACGCTCTAAATCTGTCTCCTTCTAGAATCTTGGAGCTAGCTAGCTAAAAAAGAAATGAAAAAGTATTATGGTCAAATATGGTTTGATTAGATAGTAGGTAAAGGGTTAATAAAAAGTAGCAAACCATGTGTTATTGCCTATAATTGTGGATAATAAAATGGTGGGATTGTTTATACAAGATTTGATATATTTTTGACACTATTATTACTAGTCTTTGGGGGGCATATTTGTTTCTTTCCCCTTACCTTCCCACCGCCACTCTTAATTACAGAATACTCCATGGATCCCACTTCCATTTTGTTTTCTCTATTTTATTTGTAAATTGATTGAATGGAAAATTTAATCTATTAATATAACAAATAGGTATGTTGCTCTATATATAGTTAATAAAAAAAAAATAGAGAGGACAGAAAGTCTATGGCAGGAATGGCATCAATGGATGATAAAATTTAAGCTCCACGCTGAGTTATTAGCAAACAAACTATAAATAGAATATGTGATGTTTTTCATTTCTTCTTTGTTTATTTTTTTTTCCTTCTAGGAAATAAAAACTTGGATTCTCCGTTAGAGCCTATAAATTATAATACATTATTATTTACACAATCATGTTATCTAAAAGATAATTATAAGTAAGAATCCACAAAATTAAGATTAATAACCTAAAAAATAAGGCCATTTACTTGCTATATTAAAATTGATGTAAAAATTCTATATAGCCAGTGTATATAAGTTAAGTTCTTTAGGTTTACGTTTAACTTCTTTACAACAATAATATAAAAATATGGAGTATTACGTTATCAGATCACCTAAAAGCTCTCTGTGAGTATACATCATATGATAAAAGAAATTGATTGTAACAACCATCAGATTAGTGGCGGTTGAAATCAAAACTAGGTTTGTTGTAAATTTTGCATTAGTAAATCTCACATCGGAATGAGAGAAGAAATTTAAGAGTCATATATATAAGCACGATTTCAAGATTCAACTATCGATGTATCTTTTGGGTTAAAGTCCAAGCGGACAAAACCGTGAACGGCAGAGAGAGAGTTCATTGTGAAGCTTTGACTAAATCCCGCATCAAAATGGAAGAGAAAAATTAAGGACCATATAAGGGCAAGTTCATAATTCAACTGTTAAGATATCCTTTCGAATAAATATTAAGAAAAAAAAGATCAACATTAACAACAACCTAATAAAATTTTACCAATGGGGTCTGGGGAGGGTAGAGTGTACGCAGACCTTACCCCTACCCTAGAGGGGGTAGAGAGGCTGTTTCCTGGAGACCCTCAGCTCAGATACAATAGATCTGTGACAACAAAACCCAAAAAAATAATCAGCAACAAATAAATGGAAAAACAATAACACATGTATTATGCAAAGGTGTGAAACACAACATAAATCGCTAGCTGTGCTAGACAAAACACTATCATACTCGTCGGTACAAAGAGGGAAACCGGGACAAAGAGGAAAACCGCTCGACTATCTTTTAACCTACAACCCTAATGCTCGACCTTCACACCTTCCTATCAAGAGCCATGTCCTCGGAAATCTGGAGCCGCGCCATGTCCTGTCTGATCACCTCGCCCCAATACTTCTTGGGTCACCCTCTACCTCTTCTCGTACCTGTCAAAGCCAACCGCACACACCTCCTAACCAGGGCATCTAGGCTTCTCCTCTACACATGTCCGAACCACCTAAGACGCGCTTCTCGCGTCTTGTCGTCCACCAGAGCCACGCCCACCCTCTCCCGAATATCTTCATTCCTAAGAAAAAAAAGATCGCGAGGCCAAAAAGTTTTAAGGTGGCTTAACAGATCGAGCCAAAACGGACAATACCTTATAGCAGCTAGGTCGGAACCGTGACACTGAATTAATGGATAAAATTAAGGTCTTTATCTATATAAGATCAATAATATCAAATTATTTATGCTTTCAAGAAAATAGAGAAAAACAAAAGCAATAAATAGTCATCAAGATGTAGAACTAACTTTATACCCTCCATTTGTCATCTTTATTTTCTATCCTTTTCAAGAATATTTATTGAGAAAGGAAGTGAGGTTCTAATAGTTTGAGAAGACAAGAAAAATTAAGGGAAATGGTTGTTCACCTGAATTATACCCTCATAGATGTTAACTCTTTGAGAAAGACAATCTTGCTAGGCCTCACATGCTAGGTTTAGACAAAACTTACACTGTTCATTTCTTTTCCCAGAAAAAATAATATACTAAGTACTCCCTCCGTTCCAGTTTATGTGAACCTATTTCCTTTTTGGTTCGTTCCAAAAAGAATGACCCCTTTCTAAATTTGGAAACAATTTAGCTTAAACATTCAATTCTACCCTTAATGGGAAACATTTATAACCACACAAATACTCTGCACCTCATTTTGACTTCTTTAGGACCATAAATTCAAAAAGTCTTCATTTTTTCTTAGACTCCGTGCCCCGTCAAATAGGTTCACATAAATTAAAACGGAGAGAGTATTAAATAACTTAAGTGAAGGACCACTTTAATTTGAAATTAAATTCAACATGTACGTTACTTCTATTTTATCGTTTTTTCCTCAAAAATACTTATTTAAAAATTACGTTCACTTATAAATGCTAAGTAGTTAGGAAAAGAAAAAAGATGGTAAACTACATACTTTAAACAATGTCAAATCTTCTTTTTGTTAAAAAAAAAATGATTAGGTGTTAAAAAAAATTCACAATCAGATCACTTAAGTACGACTAAATTTTGTGAAAAATATTAGCCGATAACCTAGAAAAACTATAAACTAACTTATTACCATAAGATAAACTATATTAATATTTATCGCATGTTTCCGAAGTAATTCATGTATTAGTTACAGGTTCACATGAACTCAATAATTTTTTCTCAGATGTTGTATTCGTATTACGAAATTCAAAAATGTATAAGAATATTTAGTTCGAAATTTATTCCATTTCTTCGATTAATATTCTATATTAACTTGAGATTGCGATAAGAATTCATAAACTTCAAATATTTGAATTTGCTTCTAATATATACCTTAAATCCATATCCCTCTTTCTTCATTTAGACTTTGGTTGGCAGTTATCTCTTCTATGCAGAACCCTACGAACTACATTATATTGTAGTTGTTTTTAAAAGGTCGTGTCGTGGCTGAAGAATTCACATTTCTGTTAAACAAAATTCAGTTTTACATTATCATACCGACCAAATCAAAAAAGATTTTGGTTATCCTATCAATTTCCCAATGGCCATGTTCTTTCACGAAATAATTAAACAACCACACAAAGTGAGACGATAGTGTGTGAAGATTTGCAAATCCTTTGCCTTTTTGGGAGGAATTTACCTTATACACCAGTTTAGTTATTTTTTACAATATATATATATATATATATATATATATATATATATTAAACCTTTATGTTATGCATTAATGGATAACACGATAAAAATAGTAAAAACCTACTTCTTTTTAGTTTAACCATAAGGTATTCAATACTCACTGACAAAGACTTATAGAACGTTTGGCCAAACTGCAAAAATTAGCTTATTTTGAGAAATGCTTTTTTTCAAAAGTGCTTTTCTTAAAAGTACTTTTTGTGAGAAGCAGTTTGTGTTTGACTAATTAGTTTGAAAAGCACTTCTGAGCAGCAATTAGTGTTTGGCCAAGCTTTAAAAAACTGCTTCTAAGTGTATTTTTCTCAGAAGTGTTTCTCAAAAAAGTGCTTTTGGAGAGAAGCTACTTTTTTCTGCTTCTCCTCAAAATTACTTTTTTTCCTTCCAAAAGCTTGGCCAAACAACTCAATTTTTGGCCAAAAGTGCTTTTGGCCAAAAAAAAACCACTTTTGGCCAAAAAAAAAGCTTGGCCAAACAGGCTATTAATCTGGACTGTGTCGGGTAGGGCGACTAAAGGGGGTGTGCTCCTTAATTACGAGGAATTTCTCAATTTAAGTGTATATATCCGAGACCTTTGATTAAAAATGAAGGGATCACATCCACTCTACCATAGGTAATGGTAATATATATATATATATATATATATATATATATATATGTGTGTGTGTGTGTGTGTCGCACGTTAAACTGTATTATGAGTTGAAGTATTGGTGAAAGCGAATATAAACTATTTCGAAAGTAGTAGCAAAAAGAAAATAAGGTTATAATTTTTGGACCATATATATATAATTTGAGAAGATGAGGGAAAGATTTTACATTGGAAAATATAAGTATAATGGCCTCACCATCCATTTTTTGCTAGAGGGGCCGGGGGCCCTTCACCCTTTGAACCAAGCATATTGGCCTATTATTACAATAGCAATTGTGCAATCCACAGACCAAAGGGGCTTCATGTTTGGCAAATTCTTTCAGAATTAATGAGTAGGGACGTGTGTATTTGGTATGAAAATGATTGTCGGAATTGTATCTTATGTCTTCTTTTCCTTAATAGTATTAAAGTTAGTTTGTACGGATCTCGATTATTTTATATCACGGAGCACTTGCTATCTCCAAGTAACATAAGTATTAGATAACTCTATAATCGAGGTTCAAGTAGATAAAAAAGAATCATATCTTTTTTCTCTGATAAGATCTGACCATTAATTTCTCATAATTTTCTTACACTTCTGTCCTTAAACAGCCAGCCCTCATCAAGGTGATGGAATTGCTAAATGTTCCGCCATGAATCAAGCTTTTCCTTCTTTGGGCTCGGGTCACGATAGTAGCCATGGTAGTATTGCTCCAGTCACAGGAGCGTAGATAGAAATTTTCGTAAGCGGTGTCA